AATAATATTATTAATTTAATATAATATTACATGTTTTCAAAAATTAAACCACCAAACGCAGTTTCAGTTTTTTTTAAAACTGAAATCAATCTCTAAATAAAACTACCAAACGCATTTTCAGAAATAATTCAAAAATGAAAATAAAAACGTTTTCATTTCTATTTTCGTACAGAAAACAAAAACGTTTTGGAATCAATTCCAAACGCACCCTGTATTTCCGTTAAAACACGAGGGCTGTTTTGGTAACTATGCCCTTTTCCCTTCGAAACAGAGCTCTGAGTCAACCATTGGTATTCTTGTCTTTTCATTAGAAATAAAAAAAATAAAAAAAAATAAAACTAATTTTGGTCGATCTTTTTTCATTTGTCGTCACAAAAAAGGAAAAGAAAGAGAGGAAATAAACCTTATTGCCACTGCCACATGTATGTATGAGCGAGGGAGTTAATAATCTGAAATTCGAAAGAGACCGTTTTCATATGCACGCCAGGTGGTCGATAAAATACCTGACAGGAAAATAGTTGGAAGAAATGGCAATGGTGGCTGCAATGGCCATGGGAATGAGACCAACCTCTGGTGTGGTGTTGCTAACAAGGTACAAACCCAAGTGGGTTTTTACTCGTTCGGCTCTTTCTTCTTCTTCTTCTTCAAAGCCTCCGAGAAGAAAACTCATCCTTTACTCAAAGCCCGAATGCTGTTTGTGCGATGGCCTCAAAGAAAAGCTTCAAGCCGCCTTCTTATTGTCATCCCATGATTCTCTTCACGACGTTCATTTAGAGGTACCACCACTTTTTTCTTGTATTTTCTGTTTTAGACTCCTGTTATGTTTTTAAATTCAAAAATTTCGGGTTTTCTTTTTTTTTTTTTTTTTTTTTTTTTTTTTTAAATTTAAAAATTTTGGGTTTTTTTTTTTTTTTTTTTTTTTTTTTTTTTTTTATAAGATAAGGGATATTACGACCAATCCTTGCTGGGAAAAGGAGTACCAATATGAGATACCGGTTTTGGCCAAAGTGCTCTCTGATGGAACTGAGGTTAATTTGTTAATCTACAACCGTTCGGTTTTTTGTTTTTTGTTTTTTTTAGTTGTTTTGGGCATTCTTATTTTTCTGTTTTTGTTGTCCTAGAAACCTCCTTGGTGTTTGTTTGCTTCAAATTGATTTTTAGAATTCAATGTCTTAATATTTTATTAGATGTTTGCAAATGTGTCTGACGTTCAATCATTGTAGTTTATTTTTATAGCTATTGTTGAAAGAATGCCCTTTTGTTGCAAAACTAGGAAGCAAGTACCACTCAATGATGGTTTTTTTTTTTTTGGGGAATAAGAGAATAAACTTTCCTTGATGAAAAATCTATTACCGAGGAAAGTGGATAAGAAATCCTCATGAATAAAACACACAGAAGAAGAGACAAACCAAAAAAAAAAAAAAAAAAAAAAAAGCAGCCTGAAGACCCAAAAGGCTGTGGACTGCCTTTATCCCTCCTAAACATCCCCCCAATGTAGAACAAAAATAAGTTGAAAAACAGTTCAAAGACGCTAATGGTGAAAAATATAAAAGAAAGTTAAGAATTTGGAAGGAAAAAATGAATAGAAATAAACAAAATTAAGCTATTCTTTCTTGTTGCAATCTTATAAAAGAAGGCTAGAGTATTTGTGAATTTCACAACAACCCTGTTATGTTTGCAGCTATGTTAGCTTTCATCCAATGAATGAACTCTTAAGCGGCTCTACCTTGAGATGTTTTCGTAATTGAAATATAGGCTTGTGCTGATATAATTTTCTCCAAAAGTGGACAAGAGTTTCTTCTTATACATTTCCATTTGTGTTTCTCGTTTGCCAGACCCCATATGTAGTGGATTCGCAGTCGATGACTTTATCTCTAGAAGCAAATGGCTATTTAAGGAAATGCTACCCTTTCTAGCCAATGTAACCAGAGAAGCGTTGTTAATGGATTATAGAAAATGTTACCTTACCACCTTAATCATAATCTTTAGGTAGCATCTTCGAAGATTGATGAGATGAGCGAGATACATCCAATGATTATGTACAAAAGTTACAACGTAGAATGATCTTTGTCCTTAGCATCCATGTAGATGTATCATTTATAGTTCTGATTATGTAGATAATATCTTTTACGTCACTATCAGAGAATTTACAAGCTTATATAGACTAACTCTAACTAATTACAGGATTGATACTCTAACTACGACCAACTAACGACTCTTATTAGACTAGACAAACACCGACAACTGACTTCATTAAATGTATACGGTTGGCTTCAACAATTCCACCAAACTAGCTTAAATATGTTTGTCATTCCTAGCTTGCCACTAAAAGATTGAAAAGATTCTCTTAGAAGCCCCTTTGTGAACACATCAACTATTTGTTGATCTTTGGTTGAGACAATTGGTATACAAACTAGACCAATGTCTAGCTTTTCTTTGATAAAGTGCCTATCTATCTCCGCATGTTTTGTTTGGTCTTATTGGGAAGGGTTGTGAGCAATGTTGATGGCTGCCTTGTTGTCACATTACAATCTCATAGTTCCTCCACTATCTACATTGGGTTCCTTCAAAAGTGGTTTTAGCCAGTGGTGGAACTTTGGGCCGGCGGGCCGCCCGAAGCCCGAATTTTTTTGGCTCGGGCGGGCAGGCCCATATGCCGGCCCGTCCAAGGTGGATATTCAAGCTCGGGCTTGGGCAGCCCGAATTTTGAGACCACGCCGGAGCCCGCCGCCGTGTAGGTGTCGTCGACCGCCGTCCGCCGTCCGCCGGAGTTTTTTTGAATTTTTCCGGCCAAGCCCGAATTGGCCGAATGCCCGACCCGTCCGAGCCTGAAAATCATGAAAAAAGGTCAGGAAAACGACCATTGGCTGCCCGACCCGAAATTTGCCCGAAAACCCGAAATTTGCCCGAATACCCGAGATGCCCGATTTGTCCGAACTGCCCGAATTGCTTGAAAACCCGTCCAACGGCTAGTTTTTGCCCGAACCGGCCGAACCCTAAACTAGCCGTTGCAGCCCGAATTTTTTGAAAAAAATCAATTTTTTAACCTAAAAATTTTCCTATAAATACTCCCCATCCCCTACACATTTTTCTCACTCAAACTCTCTCAATCCCTCTCAATATCTCTCAATCTCTCTCAATTTCTCTCAATCTCTCTCAATCTCTCTCAATCTCTCAAATCTCTATTACAATTTTTTCAAAAACTATCACATTATCCTAAAGCTCTCTCTCTCTCAAATCGCTATTATTTTTTTATAATAGATCCTTTTGGTTATAGTGGTATTCCCGTTGATGCTCAACACAACGTGGAAGAAGGGTAATTTTCCACGAATGAATTTGTTACGCAAGAATCTACTAATCCGAGCCCTGGTGGACGTACTGGAGGTCGTGGTCGCAATGGTGGTGGTCGTGAAAAAACGGCAAGTGCTAGTGCGACTGCGTCTGCAAGTGTTGCAACCTCTAGAAGGAAATGCAAGCGCACCTCGACAGTTTGGGATCACTTCAACATAATAGAGGAGGTCGACAATGAAGGTAACACTAAACATATAGCTCAGTGTAAATATTGTTTATCTAAATTACAAGGTGACACTATTCACGGCACCACACACTTGAGAAGACACTCCGAAAAGTGTCTTCAAAAGCTTAGCCAATCCGGCGGACCCGAACTCCGTCAAATACAATTATCTTTTGATCGCGCAATCGATGGTCTAACCACTTAGAAATACGATCCGCAAGTAGATCGTATGGAAGTTACACGAATGATAGCTGCTTTAGATCAACCACTTAGTTTTGTAGAGCATCCTAATTGGCAACGATATATTAAGGTTGTACATAATCCTAATGCACAGTTTACTTTAAAAATTACTCTTAGAAAAGATTTATTAAAATTATTTAAAAAAGAAAAAGAAGCATTAATAAACATTTTACACTCGACTAGCAACTGCGTTGCGTTAACAGCAGATATTTGGTCTGCCGTTGCCAATAAAGATTATTTAGCTGTAACCGGACATTACTTTAAAGGATTTCATTTAGATAAGAGAATATTAGGTTTTAAATGTGTTCTAGGATTAGTGCTGGAACTTTAGACGGGCCACCCGCGACCGCCCGAAAAGCCCGAGAATTTGCCCGAGCCCAAACCTGACCCGCCCGAGATTTTCGGGCCGCCCGCCCGAGCCCGGCCGGATGGCCCGAGCCCGCCCGAATTGCCCGAATTTTTTAAACTTTTTTTTTTTAATATTAAGTTATTTATATATATATTAGTATTACAATTTATATATATATATATTATATTTATATATATATTAAATTTGAAATGAACACACGAACTATATAAAAAAATTATTTCTTTATTAATTTTTAAATTTGTAATTCATGATTGCCTCATTAAAAACCTTACCAAGAAAAACCCAATTGGGATAAAAACTTGGCAAGGAAAAAAGAGTGCAATCATTTTGTGACGAATTACAAATTGTACAAACTTACATTGTTTATTAAATTACAAATACAATGTAAAAAGTAAATATTCGGATGAAATAGTGGAGACTGGGATCGAAAATATATCTATTGCCAATCGAGTTAGGATTGGCCAAGTTAATGCCCGTGCCCTCCACCATTGAACTAAGTCAAACGATTCTGCCGCACTGCCGACTACTAAGCATTCATTGAGGTACGCCATAAGCTCGTTGAAGCTGCTGTCGCCACTGCCACTTGTTGATGAAGATCCACTTCCACTCACAACTTCCGTTTGAGTTGTCTTCTTCTTCTTCTTCTTTAACCCGAAAACATTCAAGAATGAATGCGTTTTCATCCTGTTGCGGTTCCTGTACTCTAGAGTTTGTGTTTCTAAACCTAATCTCATATTTACTATAGATCTCATATATTTTTACTTTTATTATTAAAAATTGGTCCGTACAAGTGATGTCTAAAAATTCACCTAAGTTTTCTAAACCACTTTCTAATCCGTCTAATTTTAATCTATGATCAAAAATTGTACCTAAACCATATAACAAAGACAACTTAAACCAATATTTTTTAAATTTTTTTTTATAAACTGAATAGGAACTCCTAAGATTGGGTCCTCCCTATATTCGTGAAATAAAATACTAATTCTTAAAAGTTCTCCTAAAGCTAAAGGTGATGTTGGGTAATATGTTCCACTAAGTTTTAGAGTAACTTCATGAAACCTACCTAAAAATTGATACAAA